TAAAACATAATCCTGACGTATTAGGTGATTCTTGGCCACGAGCTAAAAAGTGTTTACTATCGCTAGAGCGCAGGTTAGCAGGTCAATCTCAGGTCTATGAAATGTATAAAGAATTTATGTCAGAGTATGAAAGTCTGGGTCATATGGAGAAATGTGAGAATGATAATTTACCACGTAAGATGCATTTTATACCACATCACGGTGTGCTTCGGGAAAGTAGTACTACTACTAAATTAAGAGTCGTTTTCAATGCTAGCAGTCCGACTTCTTCGGGTGTTTCCTTGAATAATATACAGATGGTAGGTCCCGTGGTACAGGACGACCTTTTGTCCATTCTTTTACGCTTTCGGCTACACAAATACGTTCTCACAGCTGATGTTGAGAAAATGTACCGGCAAATAGTCATTCATCCCGATGACCGCTATTTGCAACAAATTGTCTGGCGTGATAACCCTTCAGAACAGCTTCAAGCTTATCAACTTAACACCGTGACTTACGGCACCTCTAGTGCTCCCTTTTTGGCAACTAGGTGCCTCCAACAATTAGGCTTAGAGTGTACCGATGACAAGGTTGCTCAAGTGATCATTCACGATTTTTACGTTGATGACTTGCTAACGGGAGGGGATGATATTAACGAGGTTACAGATTTGCGCCGTAAAGTGACTTCCACACTTGCATCAGCTCATATGGTTTTGCGAAAGTGGAAGTCGAATGAATCTCAACTGGTTAGTGAAAATGATATTTCTCCGCTTGATTTGAATATTGGTGGCTTTGAACCGACTAAAGCTTTAGGCCTTGGTTGGCAATCACATACTGACCAACTTTGTTTCCCTATAGAAGGGCTATTCTCAGGTAGAACGTGCGAACGAACGAACGAACGAAGCGTGATATGTTATCTGTGATTTCTCAGATTTTTGATCCACTAGGACTTCGATCTCCCTGTGTAATTAAGATGAAAATGCTTCTTCAACAGTTGTGGCTGCTCAAGCTGTCATGGGATGAGCAGTTGACGCCAGAAATCAGCAAGATGTGGGCTGAGATAATAGTCGATTTACCTAAATTAAATACTCTACGTATTCCACGTCGTGTTATTTGTGACTCGCCTAGTTTGTTTAAATTTCATATTTTCTCGGACGCTTCTGAGCGAGCATATGGCGCCTGTTTATATGTGCGTAGTGTTAATGATCAGGGTGAGGTTTTAATTCAATTATTGATGGCGAAAAGTCGTGTCGCGCCGCTTAAACCTATAACAATCCCAAGACTGGAACTTTGTGGTGCACTTGTTGGAGCTCGCCTTTACCAAAAGGTTGTAGCATCGCTGAGACAACAGGCTAAGCGCACTTTCTTTTGGACAGATACGTCCATCGTGTTAGGATGGTTAAAGGTGTTACCTAGCAAGCTACAACCCTTTGTCAGAAATAGGGTTGCTGAAATATTAGAGAAGACTGGAAATTGCGAGTGGAGGCATGTCCCAACAGAGTGTAATCCGGCCGATCATATTTCTCGCGGTGTGAGTTGTAAGGATATTTCATCCATGAGTAAGTGGTGGTCAGGACCTGAATTTTTAAAGAAAGAGGTCTCTCACTGGCCTGCAAATTTCTTAAGTATTAATCACGAGTTGCCTGAGATTAAATCGTCAAATGTTATCCTCCACGGAATACTTCATTCTAGCAACAATGAAGATTTAGGTGGGAATAAATTAATTGAATTTAAACGCTTTTCTAAATATACTAGATTAAATCGGACCGTTGCTTATGTGCTGCGTTTTATTAATAATTGTAGAAAGCAATCCGTTCACGGTCCTCTAAGCAATCAAGAGTTGCAAACCGCACTCAATGTTATTATAAGAATATCCCAGAGTGAATCATTTGAGGAATACACCATGTTAATTAAAAATAAAAGTTTACCCACTAAAAGTCCGTTGCATAAATTTAATGTATTTCTCGATGATAATAAAATAATGCGTGTTGGAGGGCGTCTTGAAAATTCCGATTACTGTTATGAGAAAAAACATCCCATACTTATACAGTCCACTCATTATTTTACCAAATTGCTCTTCAATTATGAGCACATAAGGTTAATGCACGCGGGACCACAGCTAATGTTGGCCACTATAAGAGAGATGTACTGGCCGATTAGAGGTCGTAATTTGGCCAGATCTTGTTATCGACAATGTGTAAGATGTAATAGAATGAAAGGAAAAACCATCTCTCCAATAATGGGCAACCTACCACACCAACGCATCCTTTCTGGTTTTCCATTTCAAAATATTGGACTAGACTATGCGGGACCAATTCAATCTGTTTCTCGCCATGGCCGTGGTTGTAAAATTGTAAAGGTGTATATAGCTATTTTTATTTGCTTCGCGACTAAGTCAATTCATCTTGAATTAGTGGGTGATTTAACTAGCAATACCTTCATATTAGCTTTGCGCAGATTTATGTCTAGAAGAGGGAAACCTCTTAATATTTATTCGGATAATGGTACCTCCTTTGTAGGCGCATACAATGACATTTCAAAATTTATTAGGACGTGTTGTAATTCTTTATCTGAGGTAATGGCAAATGAAGGAATTAATTTCCATTTCATACCGCCTTATTCTCCCCATTTTGCTGGGCTTGCGGAGGCTGGTGTCAAATGCATTAAATATTTAGTTAGAGTGCTGGGCAATTGTAATGTGACTTACGAGGAACTAAATACCACATTAATACAAATTGAGGCTATACTTAACTCCAGACCACTCACACCTTTGTCAACGAATCCTGAAGACTTGCTACCACTAACGCCCGGTCATTTTTTGATTGGACGCCCATTGACTTCCTTGCCGACACCAGACTATAAAGATCATTCCGTAAGCTCTTTAACCCGATTTCAACGAATAGAACAATTACGTCAACATTTTTGGGCTAGATGGAGCAAGGAATATATATCAGAGCTTCAACTGCGGATGAAATGGCGTTCCTGTAAAGGCTCTTTGAAGTTAAATTCACTGGTACTCCTAAAAGAGGAGAATTCACCGCCATTAAAGTGGAAGATGGGTCGCATCGTCGCAGTCCATCCAGGCTCGGACGGCGTATCAAGGGTGGCGGATATCAAAACATCGACTGGTATAGTTCGCCGATCATTTAGCAAAATTTGTCCGCTTCCTGAACCTGAAGAATCTGGTTGAAAGGTAGACTTTCAACGCCGGGGGGCATGTTGAAGCGCCTGTCAAATTATATTAGCAGTTCTCATTCCAATATTAGTCCGTAAGCTGTGTAGGTATGTTTAAAAAAAATGTTGTACCTGTCGTCGTTGTAAAATTTAGAGATCAAGTAAAGGTCGATTGAGCAAATTACTGCATTTTACTATTAAAAAGAGATCAAATTCCTATTCAAGTTGCTTTCGAAGTTTCTTCCTTGATCCGTTGTGATGGTTTTAGGTGATCCGAAACGAGTAATCCAATTTTCATAAATTATCTTCGCGACAGATTCAGCTGAAGTATCATCGGTAGGTATTGCTTCTGGCCACCTTACTGTTTTGTCAATCATTGTTACGAGGTAACGATGTCCTTGCGGTGAAGTAGGTAATGATCCAACGATGTCAACGTACAGGTGTTCGAATCTCTCCGTAGGCGGAAATGGATCTAGGCTGCTTGATGTATGCCTTTCTACTTTGCATTTTTGACATTGAATGCATTGCTTCGCCCAGTTGCCAACATCCACTTGTATTGAAGGCCAAAAGAATTTTCAAGTGATGAGTTTTCTTGTTGCTCTAACACCTGGATGACTGATGTTGTGTAGTGCATTGAAGACTTCGCGACGACATTCTTCTGGTAGGTATGGTCGCATGATTGACGTTGAGGCTTCACAGTATACAGGTAGATGCGTCATTAGCATTGTAACTTGCTTGATGGACAAGTTACTTTGCTGCGATAGATATTTGATGTTGTCGCTATCTCTGTCTTGTGTTTTGGCGATCTTGTGATAGTCGATTGATGTAGGGCACGTTACACTGTCGATTGGTATGTGACTGAGTGCGTCGGCAACTATGTTGTCCTTTCCACTGATGTGACGTATATCGGTCGTGAATTCACTTATGAAAATGAGTTGTCTTGCTCGTCGTGGTATATCCGATGGTGATGGTTTCTTCTGAAGTACATATGTATATATGTACATATGGCTTGTGGTCGGTAAAAACGATCAGGTTTCGACCCTCGAACGTTTTTTTTTAAAGTGTTTGATAGCCATTTAGATAGCGACTAGCTCTCGGTCGAATGTACTGTAGTTACGTTGAGTATCGGAGGACTTCAACGAAAAATAGCCAAGCGGTTGCCATTTCACCTTGATGTATTGTTGAAATACAGCTCCCGCTGAGATATCGGGCGCGTCGCTGAAGATAGCAAGGGCTGCTTTGTATGATGGTTGGGCGAGCAATGCTGCATTTTGGATCGCAACTTTACAAGCTTCAAATGCCGTCGTGGCTTCATCGTTCCATCCGATTGTCATTTTATATTTTTTCTTCGTGTAGTGAAGGTAGGCGTGAAGTGGAGCTTGGATTTCAGCGGCTTTAGGTATGTGTTCTCTGTAAAAATAAATCATCCCAAGAAAACGCCTTAGTTCTTCGATTGTTTTAGGTTTCGCATAATCGATAATTGCTCTGACTTTTTCAGTAGGCGGTTTGATTCCTTCCTTGCTGACGGTGAAACCAAGAAATTGAACTTCTTGTTGTTCAAATATGCATTTCGAAGGGTTGATTGTGATTCCATTGTCTTCTAATCGCTGTAGCACGGTGCGTAGATGGGTTTCGTGCGTTTCTTTATCAGGGCTTGCAACAAGGAGATCATCAATGAATGCGAAAATGAAATCCAGTCTATGAAGTACTTCGTGTATGAATCTTTGAAAGGTTTGGCCAGCGTTCTTCAATCCTGGAGTCATTCTTGGAAATTCGAATAATCCCATTGGGGTAATTATTGCTGTATTCTCTATGTCTTCATCGCGTACTTTTATTTGTTGGTAAGCTCAATTGAGATCGATGGTGGAGAATATAGTCTTGTCTGACAGTTGATGAGTGAACTCCTTGACTCGCGGTATTGGGTAGCGGTCAGGAGTGGTAAAAGAATTCAATCTTCTGTAATCTCCACAAACTCGAAATGCTCCATTCTTCTTCGGTACAACGTGAAGTGGTGATGACCAAGGGCTTTTGCTTGGACGGTATATTCTTTGCTCGATCATGTTTTCGAATTCCTTTAGAACTTGCTCGTATCGGTGTGGTGGGATTGGACGTGCACGGCAGTGAAGTGGTGGTCCATTGGTTTCGATGAAATGCTCAACGTCGTGCTTCTTCTCTATTCTTCAAGGATCTTGTGATACGATTGTTGAACATCTATGCTTCTTATTGTGGGTAGATTAGTGGCTTGGAAGAAAGACTGAGATGCAAGATAGGTTTTGCCGTCGATGACTCTTCAGTTTTTGATGTCGACGATCAATTGGTGATGTTGAAGAAAATCAGCACCGATAATTGGTTTGCTGAGTTTAGCGACGAAAAATCTCCATTTGAATGATCGGCGTAGGTTTAAATCTAGTTCCATTGTTTTTTCTCCGTAGGTTGGAATCACCGTGTTGTTTGCTGCGTAGAGTTGAAAATCCAGTGGCTTCATCTTCTGTCTTTGTTTCGGCGGTAGAACTGAGATATTACTTCTACCTTACGATTACTGAGATGTTCGCTCCGGTGTCGATAAGGAAGATAATCTTGCTTTTTTATCGGTGACGAAAGGACGGTAGGACGTTTCTGTTACTGCGGATCCCGTCGCATCAAGCGTATTAGTTAATTTTCGGTCTTCATATTTTCGTCGATGATAGTAGCAGTAAGGGGATCTTGTTCTTGAGCTTGTTCGACTTCTACTTGTAGGGCGGTTGCGACGAAAAGTTGATTTTCGGTGTTGCTGATTGCGCTGGTTGTAATGTTGTTGGTTACAGGTTTGACGCTGGGAAGCTTTGAGTGCGGCGACTTTGAATGATAGCTTCCGAATTTCTTCGAGAAGAAAGTATCATTGACCTTGGTTGAAGTGCCTTCGATCATCGATGTGTGTGAGACTCTGCTGTTTTCGATCATCTTGCCCGCCAGGAGTGCCAGTTCGTCAAGCTTCGTCTGCTTGCTGAATGATTGACTCACTGCTAGTACCGATCGAACATGTGGGGGAAGATAGTGTACCCACATTAGCCGTAGTGTCGAATCTGGGACTTTATCCCGTGCCAAAGTACGCATTCTGCGTAGGAGTTGTGTGGGCTTCTGGTCTCCAAGTTCTATTTCTGATAGAAGTTTCTGTAGCTGGCGACTGTCGGATTCTTCATATGCAGAGATCAGACGATCCTTCAGCGAATTATACTGGTCGGTTGCCGGTGGATTGTACAACAGGTCCGAAATTTGTTCGATGTTTTGTTTCTCAAGTTAGGCGATCACCATCTGTGCTAGTTGCGCTTGACTCTTCTTTAAATCATTCGTTGTGGCTTCAAAACTGACGAACCAAAGTCGGGGTTAATCTCTCCAAAACGGTGGTATTCTTAATGATAGAGATATACCGGCGATTCCTTGTTCCTTGGCCGGGTTTGATGTATATACGTCGGATTTCTTCGCTTCTCGCTCCATAATGACGTCTTGATAACACTGATTTTATATAAACTGAAGTCTTCCTTGATATTTTTCCAAATATTGGTGCAGGGATCTTCCTAGTCGGTGTTCGTAACGGGGACAATGAAATAGTGGTGTATGGTGTCCACTATTAACAGACTCCGAGTGGTTTAGTGGCGGAGATATGAAACTATTTTCTGTTATGCTTTACTATGTACAGGCGAATGGAGTATGGAGTACTTATTTCAGTCAACCCTGCCTATATTTATATGCCCGGCTAAGTCCATAGTTTACCAATAGTAATATTTTTTTATTTACTTAGCCAATTAAAATTCATACATTTTGACCAATAAAGATTATTCAATAAAATATTATGTACAACTATTATATGTCGCGCTCCATTTGCCGCCGTAAGACTCGTGGATAGCTTCTCGTAGCTGCGTTGCTGGACGGGGCTATAAAATTGGTGCAGAACGGCGCGCGCGCGTAATCGGCGAGCGGCGGCGGCGTTGGATACATCTCCGGAACAGCAAGAAGAAGCGAAGCTGCGGCGTTGATGAAACGGCCCGAAGATGGTCGACGGATGCATGAAGATAGCCGGCGTTTGAAGACGATGCGGCGCTGATGATATTTGCGGCTGCTTCTTGTTTCTACATTAAAATGTTAAATATATACGTCAAATTATCTCGCATCGATATGCAGCCCGCAGTATCTCAGTAGCCGGGGAATTTAGGAAATAAATGTTTCTTCAGACCTTCGCCTTCTGTGTTATGGTATTAGCAGGGTATACATTATTTATTACCGATTAGGGTTGATTAAGCTGGCTGCTACAGATATATTGGAATACATTCAGTTCGTTTCAATTCTGCTTGCGAATACTATCAAATTTCAAAGCATCTATTGAAATACATATCCTCTTTTCAAAATATAGATATGTGATATTAAAATTTACACAACCACTATAGTAATGAAAGATTTCCATATTTTATTTCAGTTTGTATTTCCAACGATTTCCAGTGTAATAGAATGGTACCGCAAAAAGGGTCAAATGTTTGAAATCGACACATCATACCTATATAAGCCAATACAGTATGTATTCCGTTTGACAAATCAAATTTGTATAGAGTCTGGTCTACTTGTTCTCTGGTAGGTCTTGTTTTCTGGATCTCGACAACAGCATCACCTACCGAGTTCAATTGTGAATCTTAAACATTCTCGGATCAATCACACACACACACACAAAATTTCATCAAAATTGGTTGAGCCGTTTTGCAGGAGTTCATCACAGATTATATAAATAAAAAGATATATATTGTGACCTTATTGCATGCAGCAGCCTGATATAACAGCGCACTGGTCGAAATCAAATCATATAGTTTCGAGCCTCGGACTGCGTACTTACTAAGTACCCTACTGAAGAAAAGAAAAAAAATCGAGACAGTCCATTCGTGCAAAAAGTTCCACATAATTACTTATTTTAATAATAAATTGATGACTTATTATTAAAATAAGTAATTAAAGTTCAGAGAGCCCTTTTTTTATAGGAGAGTTGGCAAACGAGCATGCGGTTCACCTGATGTTAAGTGACTACCGCCGCTTATAAACAACTGCAACACCAGGGGAATTGTAGATGCGTTGCCGACCTTTTAAAAAGAAGTAGGCTCTTTTCAATCATCCAGATGATATGGACAGTATCGCGAGATTTATCGCGATGTGCGATGGTGAAATTGAGCGGCTGGAATTAGTCCGAACAATTCCTCAGAGCACTTCTCGTGATAAATGTGATAAAATACACAAGGAGATGAAACATCTCTACGCAGTCAAAGAAAATATATACTACTCGAAAAGAAACGACACTTAAGCATGTGTACACGTAAAATCGCTTGCGGCTTTGTGTGGGTGTCTGGATGTGTGCGGGGGCCTTGACAGGCGCGCGGGGCGCCTCACACGCACCGCACGCAAGCACAGACTGACTGCGCTTTATACAAAAATAATACCTATTCATCATCATTCTTTACCATCGATTGTCCGTTCTTCGAACTATATAGCCAGTCCATTGCCTCTCCAGCTTATTTATCCGTTGAGCATATCGTTTACTCTGACTCTACTGCGGATATCCTTATTTTGAAGTTTATCACGCAGAGAAACTCCGAGTGTAGCCCTCTCCATAGCGCCTTTCTTGAAGCACAAGACACTTCTGTTCCACGCCTCCGGAGTAGTGCCACTATGGAATACGGAACTAAAGAGTTTCTGATGGACTCAAGTAGTGGTTTTACGCCCAATTTCAGAAGCTCCGCTGTAATTCTATCCTCGCCCGGAGTAATTCTAATCTCGCTCAGACTGACATTGGCTTGCTCTTGAATCGTCACTCACATTTGCTTATGGCTTCTACGTTGACATGCACAGCTACCTGTAAAACCTCTCCACCTCACTCAAAATCTCTTGAAACAAGCACCAAGTTAAATGAAACTAATTTTACGGATTTTAGTGCGTTTAATTTAATTTTTTCATTCCCGACGACTGAGGTGAGGAGGTAAAAAGTAAAATTATACGCGATAAAATTCGTAAAAATTACTTTCATTTCATGTGTAGCCTTCGCGTAAATATAAGAAATCAAGCATCAAGTTGTTTTGTCTACAAGTAACATTTTATTATCATCGATTGTCTGCTAGCTTTAATTGCTACTAAAATGTGACGTATTAAGATGTCAAAAATGTGTTAACATATTCACATTCTATTTAAAGGATTATGGCCCAAGATGGACTCTTAGAAATGAAAAGAGTCCATCAACCTATAGAAAACTAAGGCCTAAGCAGTCTCACAGTATTTTATTAATTACTTTTCCTACCCTAAATAATCACAAGAAAGTGAAAATAGTTTCCTCGACATACATTACCAAGGCCGAGGGTGGTTATTAACAAAGCATCAAAATATGCAAAAACGTTTACTAAGGAAATCTTGACGTAAATTGAAATCGGAAATGGAACGCTTTGTGGAAACGCGGGCCATTTCATAAGCTTTATTGCTCTATTTTAACGTAGGGAAGTAGTGACATACTTTCTTGTATTTTTTTTTTAAAGACACTCTTTAGTTATCGTTATCTACAAAGTGTGCGTTAAATTGGATTATATTTTTCAAATTCTTGTGTAAAAATTAATTGTAATTAGTTTTCGCTCTAGAATAATAAAAATATTGTCTATCATATTCAAACAAAGTTGCGTATACAATGATAAGTAAGAGAATCAGGAGTTACCTTGTAAAATTCGTATCGATCGTCAATCCTAATGGGACGTAGTTATACAAAAACATTCCAACCCACAAGTCATTCAAAAATAAGTTAAATATACAGATCTACTTATTTTGAAATCTTAGCGAAGATGTAAAAATAAATAGATCTGTATATTTAACTCATTTTTAATTGTCACTCCCATTACTGACTTGAAATTGGCAAAATTCGAGAAGCCGAAAAGTAAAGAAGAAGAAGAAGAACTCATTTTGATAGACTTCTGGGTTGGAGAGTTTTTGTATAACTACGTCCAATGGTAAGTATTTCCTATGTCCAGCTGTAAACTATGAGATCTTTACCCTTTTTTTAGAATTTTGC